GGATTCCCCCTTCCATCCAACAATGCAACAAGACCATAATTTGTAAAAAATATTTGTTGGTTTTCAACAGAGTTACACACAGGCTCTATGAAACACGATCAAGCACGTGGGTGGTTGAAATTACTTCTGCTTAACAATCATTTGCTCATCCTTGATTCCTCAAAAGGTGGCTTTCAAGAAGAGTAGAGGAGGGGGGAGGGGAGGGGAGAGGAGGCGGCGGATGGAAGTTCCAACAGTCATAGAAGCACAGTAGCCTTACATTACTTTGTAAGAAGTATGATTCCATAACATACACTGCAAACGCACATCTGAAATGTTCCGATTTAATGTATAATATATTAAAATGTAACTCAATATGTAGTAATACGTAAAATATGTAAAAAAATAGGTGATTATATCAAAATATGTAAAATAAAAATGGTTCTAATTCGTTTAGAACGTCCAGTAAACACTAAAATGTATTATTCAATGCAGGCATCTTGTCCCTCTAAAAATAATTACATGAAAATCATACACAACGTTGTCATCAACTTACTCATAATAAATGCAGCATTCAATTGAGATAAAACAGGAAAAATTGGCCTAATTTACCTATATAAAAAGAAAAGGCCTAATTTATTCAAAGCAATAGATTAATTATTATGAACCTTCCTTTGAGAGGTGGTGTTCCACCATTTTTCCCCAAAAACCATTTGGCAGCTACTGTTTTGAATATTCAGTTAGGCCAAAAATCCTGATCTGTACAGGAGGCAGTAAAGTATAATTTTCCATCAATATATCATTGTTTCATGAAGCAACTCTAAGCAACACAGCTTGGAAGATATTGGACACAAAGCGCCTTTGATTCTCATAGCTTACTAATACACGAGTGTGAATCATCCTTGCTGCACACTTTAGTCAACATGTTAAGACTGTTTCACCGTATAACATAGGTTAATATTTTTTATAAAATAAATCACACCATTTTTGGTCCTAAAATTTTGAAATTAAGTTGCACATAATATTCAAGATAATATAGTAGTTTATTACTATGAAATGATACAATTCAAAATTGACATTGCTGTTATTTCCATTGCTGTTTATGTTGATAAAACATAGGAGAAGAAAGAGCAATATTTTGATGACATTCGCTATAATATAGCTAATGAGGAGCGGAAATCGGAAGGTCATTATTATTTGCACTATCTATTAATTGTAATAAGTAAATAGAAGAAATTACTGGTTTCATTAATTTATTTGATTACTAATAAAAAAAATATAAGAAATTGCATCTCAGACCACCAAATCTGACTTAAAGTCTTATGGGCATGTTAGGTGTGTGTAAAAACAAATACACCATTACAATAAATTATAAAGGTTTCTTCCAGGTCTAACATAATAAACACCATGAATATAATATGAATTTTACATGCATTATTCTAATTGTAATTCTTTGTTAAATGTGATTGGTTCAACATTCACAATATTTAATAAAGCAATTAATTTAAGTATTCTAAGGCAGATCAAACACAAACTTACTGGTAGAATAAGGTCTTCACTGAGAACTTGAATGTGGCGAGTTTCTTGAATACGAACTAGCTGTTCAGGAGTAGCATGTAAAACTTTTATGTCACCTTGAGTTGTATGGATCACCTGCAAAAATTTACTTTTTAGTACACACTCTCATATAATTCAAAAAAAGTTATTTTTTTACAGATTTAACACAGTTTGAAGGAGAGAAGTAAAACAAAGTGAATCAAAATACAGTAAAACCCTCTTTTACACTTTTCAGGGAACCGATGAAAAAAAGTGTAAAATGCAGGAAAGTGTAAAATACAGGAAAGTTGAACAACGATAGCCTAGGCGAGTACTTTCTTTATTTACTGCAATGGTTATTCTGTTTTCACTTTCTCGCCGTTTGTAAAAAAAAGTATAAGCATGTGCCGGAATTAGCAATTTTCGTCAGAAAATCTGCTACTGACATGCCCTGGTACTGAAAAAGTGAATAAATCATATTCCTATATATAGCAAATTACTTCCTCTAACGCGTGATGTAGCCTGAATCCCTGTTTTACGGGTCCTTGAAATAGCAAAATCGATTGACAGCGTTTTTTTCCTGCTGAAAACGTCTGTTTGCCTGTCCAAAATTGATATTCCTAGATTGATCTGAACGAACGGGAGACTTTAGCGATTTCATTGTATACATATGTAGTAATGTACTACATATTGGAACAGGATTTATCCACTTTTTCAGTATCAGTACGATTTTTTTATGTCGAAAAATCGCCGTTTTTTGCCGCAGCATTATATAACTTTCTAAGCACTAGGTATAAAACGTACGTATAAGGGAAAGTACAAAAATAAAATCAAATAAATTTTAAATAAAGACGTAAAAGACGGGAAGCACTCTTCATATCAAGTTGTAAGTTGCAGGAAGAGAATGCATTGTAAATATAGGCTTTTCAAAGGGACCAACAAAAAATTACGTAAAAGGCCGGAAAACGTAAAATGCGGTAACGTAGAAACGGGGTTTTACTGTACACAAGATTGTGCTAATGAGATAATACCCTTCTGTAGGATAATTTCAACTACGAAATTATACACTAATATAAATCTATTAAAATGGACAAGTACATTGTAGAAAAGCAAGTTTGCAAATGTACAAATTTTCTTTAATAAGCCTCTGATAGTACAGTACACTGAAAGAACGTTCTCTCCAGAACAATTCTGCTGGAGTGTTCTATTAAGTTCTCCAACACCACATTCAGGTGTGGGTAATGGCTATAGCCCTAAAACACATGATAATAAGAGTTGCAACCATACATTTCTCAAACTGATTGTTACTTTCTTGTTCTTGTCAACTTATGCAGTTTGGAGAAAGTATTGTAATGCTGCAAGAAAACAAACTTATTTCTGGGCTCCAGTAACAAATAAATCTTGTTCCTATTGTGTAGACTACTTGTGCTACTTTTGTGCATACTTAACAAAAAGGCTCAACATTTTCAAAACTCTCTCAGAAAACATCTCCAATTTTTTCTAATTAAACTTTGTCCTTATTTATAATAAAGGACACCTAAAGAATTAGGCAGGTCTAATTTTTGTTGAAATGCCTAATTTTTTTAAAATTGCTAATGTTAATATAATATATATACACATATATATATATATATACACACACATATATATATATATATATATA